GTGAATAACAGAATTTTGTCATTGTTTATATGAATTTTATATAGATCTTTTGCTGCAAATAGATGAAATTGATGAAAATTAGTGTTTCTAAAATTAAATTTTGAACCAACGGGATAATTTCATTTTAGGAACATTAATTATGTGCTATGATGTTGTAATTTTCTAACCAACGTTGATAATTGTAATGTTATAGTTATGGCTCTATGTGTTATGTCTATTTTCTGCCCAACGGTGATGTAGACTTAATACATAATAATTTTAATATTAATTTTGTTCTCACAATACATGATTATCTCAGGTGGCTACTCCTTGATGGGTTACATTAAAGATATTCCGACCCTAAAAGGATATAACTATGAAGAATGGAAAAGAGAACTCGACCTTGCTTTTATCTTGGGAGAGGTGGACTGGGTGTTGACTACCCCATGTCCTATAGAACCTGCGGACCTTGTCAGAGGTGAAAAAGAGTCAGATGCTGAATGGCAAAAGAGAGAGAGGGACAATGCTCCCCTCATCATGTCGTATGACATTGAACATGTGAAATGGTCCTTAGCCAACAAGAACTGTTTGGCTGCGGTAAAGGACACGATTGAGCCAACAATATTGGGCTCAATCCCAGAGTATGACACCGTCTCTAAGTACCTCGAAAGTATAAAGAGCCAGTTTACTGGTTCTTCAAAGTTTTATGCGACACAGCTGATAAAGCAGCTTGTGACAGAGAGGTACCATGGAGGTGGTGTAAAAGACCACATTCTTAGGATGAGCGACATGGCTTCCAAGTTGAAGCCAATGGATTTGGGCATCTCAGATGCCTTTTTGGTCCATCTGGTTATGACCTCATTGCCAAAGAACTTTGACAACTTTGTTGTCAACTACAAAATAAGTCCAGAGAAATGGAATCTTGAAGAGCTCATCTCTAATTGTGTGCAAGAGGAGGAAAGAATCAAAGAGACCAATGGTGCCTCCAATAACCTTGTTAAAGATAACAAGGAAAAGAGCCACTGGTCACCCCCCCCCCCTCAAAAGCAAAACAGCCTCAGCATCTGCCTCAGTAACAACAGTTCACAGTTAAGACAAGATCAGTGTCCCCACTATAAGAAGACAGGGCATTGCAAGAAAGTTCGTCCTGACTTCCTGATAGTGATCATGGCAAAGAAAGGTGAGAACATTATTACATTTGTAAATGAATCTCATTATGATTGGTTATTCTAGATCCACATGATGGATTGATTCTGGAGCAACTATTCATGTGTGTAATTGTTTAAAGGGATTCCGTTCGATGAGGACTACGCAAAGAAGCGAAAGATCCATTAGAGTTGCCAATGGAGTTGAAGCAAAAGTTGAAACTATTAGAGATCTTCGCCTAGAGCTCGCGAATGGCTTCACACTTTTACTTAGAGATGTTTTTTATGTCCCTTCTTTGCAAAGAAACTTAATAAGTGTATCCAAATTGGATTTTGATAGATATGATTGCCATTTTGGAAATGGCAAATGTGAACTATGGTATAATAATGCATGTATTAGTCTTGCTGTGTTGCAAGATGAGATTTATTTGTTATCTCTTTCTGAGAATGTGAATATTGTGTCCTCGTTGACAAAAGAAAAGAAAGCGAACTCCTGATGTCTCATAGAAATTATGGCACTGTCGTTTAGGCCATATTTCGAGGGGGAGAATTGAGAGACTGATTAAGAATGTAATTCTTTCTCCATTGGAGTTCTTAGTTTTAGAACAATGCATAGAATGCATCGGTGCCTAAAACACCGTATGAGCTATGGATCCTCCGTGTGGGGGGGAGTCTTGCAGAGGCTAAAGTATTTAACCTAAATCTTGGGAAGTTGGACCCCAGAACAATAGGCTGCCATTTTATTGGCTATCCTGAAAGATCAAAGGGTTATCATTTCTACTGTCCAAACAGTTATACAAAGTTTGTAGAAACGAGACACGTCGTCTTCTTGGATTAGGGGGAGCTCGGTAGTTCGAGAAATTGATCTTGAGGAGAGGCGGGTGTCTGTACCTGCTCCGTCGACTCAGGAACCTTTCTTCTCTCTACCTGCTGATGTTGTGCCTCCAATGCATGACGTTGCGGTACCAACACATGTTGTTATCTCTCCTGTGGCAACAATGAATGAAAGTGAGGAACCTATTCTACAGGATTCAACAGAAATTATTGCCACACTAGAGGAGGAGCTGCAACAGCCTCAAACAGATAATGTGCCAGAACAGGAGGCCCCTAGAAGGTCTGAAATAGACAGAAGATCGGCTATCCATGATGACTATCATGTTCATAATATAGAAGAGTCGCACATGGAGGATGATCCCACCTCATATGAAGAGGCCATGAGAAGCGCTCGCTCATCTGAATGGTTGGAAGCCATGAAAGATGAAATAAAATTAATGAAATTAAACAATGTCTGGGATTTAGAAGAAATTCCTAAAGAAGCCAAAACAGTAGGCTGTAAATGGGTCTATAAAACCAAATATGACTCCAGAGGGCATATGGAAAAGTTTAAAGCGCGACTTGTGGCAAAAGGCTTCACGCAAAGAGAAGGGATTGATTACAATGAGACATTTTCTCTAGTCTCTTGTAAAGATTCCTTAAGGATTACAATGGCACTAGTGGCACATTATGATTTAGAATTACATCAGATGGATGTAAAACGGCATTTCTAAATGGAGATTTGGAGGAAAAGTATACATGGCACAACCGAAAGGTTTCGTCATGAAAGGAAACGAAAATATGGGATGTCGTCTAAAGAGATCCATTTATGGATTAGAACAAGCTTCGAGACAGTGGTACTTGAAGTTTGATGGGACAATAAAGAAATTTTGGGTTTCAAGAGAATGTTGAGGACAACTGTATTTATTCAAAGTTTAAGAATGGGAAATTCATTTTCCTAATTATGTATGTGGATAATATTCTACTGGCTAGTAGTGATGTCAGTCTACTACAGGAAACAAAGAAATTCTAGTCCTCAAACTTTGACATGAAAGCCCTCGGTGAGGCTTTACATGTTTTGGGCATAGAGATTCACCGAGATAGAACAAAGTATGCATTGGGACTTTCTCAAAAGGCATATATAGAAAAGGTGTTGAAGAAATTCAACGTGTACAGATGCAGTGCTACACCTGCTCCTATAGTCAAAGGCGAAAACTATGGGGCATCGCAATGTCCTAGAAATCAGTATGAGCTCAATGAAATGAAAACAAAGTCATATGCGTCAGCTGTAGAAAGCCTACAGTACGCGCAAGTGTGCACACGACCTGACTTGGCATTTGTTACTAGGTTACTTGGAAGATTTCAGAGTAATCCAGGTCCAGAGCACTGGAAATTGGTATAAAAAGTCTTGCGTTATTTGCAAGGAACAAAAGACCTCATGCTGCCTTATAGAAAATCAGAATCGCTCTAGATAGTGGGGTATTCAGATTCTGACTTTGCAAAAGATAATACAAAGTCAATATCGGGATACGTGTTCACCCTGGCAGTAGGAGCTATTTCATGGAAAAGCTCAAAACAGACCATCACTGCAGGGTCTACTATGTATGCCGAGTTTATAGCATGCTATGAGGCAACGGGGCAGGTGAACTGGCTAAAGAAGTTTATACCCGGTTTTAAAGGTGGTTGACAGTATTGAGAAACCACTAAAGTTATACTGCAATAACGAATCCATAGTAATGTACACTCACAACGATCAGTCAAGTGGTGCTGCCAAACACATTGACATAAAGTACTATGTTGTGAAAGACAAAGTCCGAGATCAAACAATCAGTCTCGAGCACATTAGAACAGAAAGAATGCTCGCGGATCCGCTCACGAAAGGCCTACCTCCCAACGTGTTTAAGGAACATGTAGCATTCATGGGTTTAAGGGAAGCCTTATGAATCCTGGACTATAGGGCCCAAAAGTTAAAGTATATGTTTCTGAATAGAGATGTGTATAGTGGCTATTGAATCCATCGATGATTAACCGTGATGTGTAACATGCTCTATATGCAAATCTGTGATGTAATAGAAAAAGGCTAAAAGAAATAGTGATATCAAGGGGGAGAATGTTAGATGGATCTCCCTCCCCTTGAGCCGTTCTCAAGGGGGCCTTGACTCGCGCCCTGATCGGAGGCACCCAGCCCAATGGCTGGTGGGCCCCCATCACCCTGCGCCATATAAAGAGGGGTGGAGGCTGGGACGGCACTTGACACGAGGTTCGCCGCCGCCAACTCCACCCCACAAACCCTAATCCGATCGAGAGGGGGCGCAGCCAGTGACGGGAACGTGCCAGCGCCGCGCCACGCCTCATCGTCGACCGCGACTCCCACTGCTACAACCACCGTCCTCGTCAAGCAGAGCGACGACAACGACGATGGCCGGGACTTCCTCCTCATCCAACGCGTCAACCGGTCACATCCTAAACCCTTTTCCCTTAATCTCTATTGTTGTTCAATCATTCAACCCAAATAAACCACCCGACTAGATGTAAACCTAGTTGATCCAATAGACAACCCTAACAGGAAGGTGTCGAAGTTGAGGTAGATGTTCACCATCCGGACGCAGCGGAAGCCGTGGCCGATGTTCTTGCTCTCCGCCCACAGCACCGACTCATCCTGTTACTCCGGGTTGGATGGCAGCAGCCGAACCTGTTTGCACCAACACACGTACGCGTGCAGATGAACGAATATGTCAGATCATCATCAAAGACTAGTGGTTTTGCAACAAATTCACAACTTGTGACGCCAGGGCGGAAATAGTAAGCATGTGCGTTGATTGCTACTGCGCTCCAACCACTGCGTTAACTGATTTTTGACATATATGAAATAAACTGGATTAATTAATGAACAATAAGTATGTATGTACATATAGGGTGGCTCCGTCCGAGGTCCGAGGGAGTGCTTGATGGCTTGGCTGGTGGCCTTGTTCACCAGCGCGAACGCCAGGTAGCCTTCCTTGTCCTTGACACTGGCGGTGGACGGTAGCCATAGTCCGGCTCGTGGCTCGGTGGAGACGATATCTATACTAATATAAAAATGAGGAGTTGCCCCCTCCAATCTTACAGGTGAAATCATCTCGATCAATCCTTACCGTCCATCTGCGTCTGTCCTGATCCATATCCTCCATCCATCCGCCACGGATTGTCCGCTTCCTCCTTCTCGCGCGATGAACTTGCGCTGACCATGCTGGACTCGCGCTCCTCCTCGCCCCGATTCTCCTCGCCCCGCCTCAGTCCAACGGTGCTCCAGCCGATGCTCCTCCTCCTCCACCCTATTCCTCCTCGCATTCCCCGTTCGCGCCGCCGGAGGGTCGTCCCCTTCCGCCGACGCCGCCATACTCCACCGATGCCCTCGCTGGAACCGATTTCTTCCCCTTCCGCCGGCACCGCAATCCACATCACAGGTTCACAGGTCCTCGCCGGAACCGATTTCTTCCCCTTCCGCCGTGCCACCGTCGCCGCAATCCACTTCACAGGTTCATCTTGCGCCGATTGGTTCCCGTCAGATTTGAGTAGGAACTAAAGGAACCATCACTATTCCCCTGAACCCTAAGGTAATACCAATTTCTCCTATTTTACATGTTTTTGTGATGTGTCAATTTGTGGATCACCATTTGTTTTCTTGATCATTCACAATTGCCAATCAGAAATTGGCCATAGAGTTTGAAGATTTTAACATATCAATGGATTTGCATCCTTTCAGTTGATCCTGTGCAGCCCCTGTCAATGGATTTGTATCCTTTCTTTCTTCTGAACTTTTCAGATCACTGGAGGCTCTAAATTTTGCTTGTAATACAGATGATTAGCACTACTCACTGTGAAGCCATCCTACTGTTCTTGTTCGTAGTTACTGAAAAATATATAAAGCCATCCTACTGTTCTATAGGAGAATCTAAACCCAGTGGCAACATCACATGCAAAACACCTCCATATGAAATTAATCCTTCTTTTTCTTCCTATTTCCTTGCAGATCTTCAAATTTGTGGTTCCCCGAGTATATATATGCCCAGGTTGTATGCTTGAAGGTTGTAACTCCTAGCGATGGACGGCATTCCTAAATTAACTGCAAATGAATTAAGAAGACAAAGAGACCGAGAGCGGTACGCGGCACTCAGCGTTGAGGAGAAGGCAGCACGAGTTCAAAAGAACCGTGAAAATAGGAAGAGGAAGAAGTCTGCATCTACATCGGGCACAGGTGATGATATATTCATTCACTTCTTATTATGCTCACCCCTATTTCGTGGCAAACAATGCTGAAACCTGGGCAAACTCGATTGGATTGTAGTTTTGAATCAGAGCCTGTGCCTTTCTCCACACATGGTAATGTCTTGTGGAATCAATTTATAATATCAAATTGTTCTGTGCGTCTGTTTTTTTTTTTGGGGGGGGGGTTCAATCTAATAATATATTTCAACAGGTGTGCTTGGCGATATTAAAAATTTGAGTTTGCATAATGGAAGCCAAACTGTAGATTGTCAGCCATCATTTCAACCTGTGCCTTCCTCCACACCCGTGTCTTCCTGCACACCTGTTTGCAGAAACCGACAAACCTAAGGAAGTACTTTTTGCGGCACACTTGCCGTATACTGCTGCATGCAGCTCAGGCAATGTCACAGGTATGATTTCTTCGTTGCTTTACATAATTACAGTGCCTTGCTATATTTGCCAATTGATTTGTTCTCATCACTAAAATGGTGAAATTGGTGTAGTTATCATGCAGGCTCCCAATGAAGTGCTTTCCAAGTACCACTGAAATGGTGAAATTGGTGTAGTTATCATGCATGCTCCCAATGAGGTGCTTTCCGATTACCAATTGCAAATTAGGTTATTTCATTCCTAAACCATGCTTCTTACCCAACATTGATTTGTTGATTGATATCTCAGTTAATTATTTCAATGGTGTGCGTCAATTGTATATTTGTATCTTCCTTACAATTTTCCTCGAATTTCTGTGATTTTGCAGCCCTGATCGAGTTGCCTATTTCCTTTATCATTTTGTTCAAGTAATCTGTAGTAGTATAAAACCAAAATATTTCTTATTGGTTCCAAGGCAGGTTTCCTGCTCACCAAGCAAGTTGATGCTTTGTTTCAGGAAATATAGGACAAATAAACAGATGACTGTTTTAGACAAGTTCACCCTATTGATAGCATTAAAATTAGATGCTCAAGATGGATGATAGTAACAACAAAAGCAAGTGGTTAAGTCCTCCAATGTTTCATCATTTACGGAGGAGTTCATAAGGTGAAACTGTAACCAGATTTTTGTGTTAGTCATGTATCCTCTTTCCAATTTTGCGAGATCTTTTACTGCATTTCATCTCAGCAAATGATGTGAATAATATGAGCCATTTGATGATATTTCTTTGCATACATTTTCATTTAACTACTGTTAGGCTTTTAATATTATTAACAGACTGTTATGGTTATTCCAACAGTTTACTATATATCATCTATACTAATATAAAACTACTATTATAATCTGTAGGCTTGCCCCAGTCTCTCTCGCGGCAATGGTCTGCGTGTGCTACAATCTGCATCCCTCCACGCCTGAGTAATCCCCTCCGTTCCCATGTTGACCGACGCGGCCGCCGCTGTCTCCTCCAAAGCAGCAGCGGTCCTAGCCGAATTGGCCATCCCCATTGCCAAACACCATCACTGGCGCCGGCAGCCTCAATCCGCGTCGAGTTTTTGTCTCCACCAGCATAGTGGTCTCTACACATGAGGTTGGTCTTAGGCTGCAACTTTTAACTCTTATTTTCCATCTTTTAATCGAACTCGATGCGAGCACGGGCTTAATGCATTCAAGCCACAGTCTCAAAGCATTCTGTATTTATGTTGATGTTGGTTGATTGCTCTTGATGTGCATGTCAGGTACTTGGAGGTTTTTTATTTCCCTCATGACGAGGACTTGTTTTCTCTTATCTTTCAGGCCTCGAGTGACAAATCAGAGCAGCAATCATGCTTTGTTGTGGCTTTTATCTCTGCCGATCTCACGGCAATCTATCGACATGCACATTTGTATTTTGTAGTTGGATAAAAAAAAAGTAGCAATAGTTGCCATCTTTTTCTCTAGGAAAAACTGATTTGTTTATATGCTTTCTCAGTTTATGTCAGAGAAAATGGTTAGTTGAGCTTGTCTCCTATACTGAATGTGCTTGGGGTTAACTGGGCTTTCAGTCAGTAAGCATGGTAACAGACTCTTCATTGAGTTAAGTAGTCCAATAATTATTTTTTAAAGCATTTTAGTCAGAGTAGAAACAATTATATTTTTTCTCTACTGACTGCATCTGGTATTTTTGGTAATTAGCTGGCATCACGTACTTATGTATATAGTCATATGGACATCAAGCATGTTTGTGGGATAATATAAGATGCTCTAGGCAGAGTAGAAACATTTATATTTTACATTCCTTTGTGTCATATTTTCCCTTTTTTAGGGAAGGGGGCAGATCACTGCTCAATAATAAATTTATTCATAGTTTATATTTTGTTTAATTAGATGATTGACTATGAAATTTCATCACCTGTTGTCGAGCTGGAGTCCCCAGTGAAGACCTCTGTATGGGACCATTATGCTTTCATTAAATTCCATCACCTTGGAAAACTGGTTTTGGGTAATAGTAATCCCTGTAATCTGTATATTTTGGTGTGTGCCTAATTGTATGAATTGAAAGATTGAATTAAGTTATGAGCACTAACCAAATGGACAGGCTTGCTTTCAGTCTCCTGACTTTTGCCTATTTGTCTCTATTCCTCTGAAATCCGTCATGCATGTGCAGCGTTTTGAGGATTTGGCTAAACAATACTTTATTGTCAACCTTGACGATAATGACTTCTCACGTACTGAGAATCATCACCAAGGTTTTTCATTTTTTATCTTATGAATTACTCTTTGTGGTTGCTTAAGGAATAGTGGACTTCTAACTGAATATGATACCGACGTGCCTTGCACGTGCACGATTACTAGTATAGGTAGAACTATGAGTCAGAGTCGTCGCCGCGAAGCTAGTCAACTCCGACGTGATGCTCGCCACCCGCTCACGGCGGCGGTGCTGCCCTTCAACGCACCTGACGTGGAGCTAGCCGCCGGGTTCCGCCCCTACGACGTCATCCTCTTCTCCGGCGAACCACGCTCTAGCACGTGCTAGCCGGTTCGTTTGCCGGACCGAAGTCGTTGGTCGTGAGGAAGCCTCACCAGGGCACCCCGTGGACCACTTGCCGCTCCTCGGGCTGCGCCGCCGCACTTCGGCCCTCACCGCAAGCCGCTTTCGTTGCTCCCAGTCCGAAGAGAAAGGAGGAGAAAGAGATGAGAGAGAGAGAGGTAGGAAGAAGGGAAGGAGAGAGGACGACATGCGGGCCCCACATGTCAGTGAGTCTCACAGTATATTTTTTCTATGAATGACAAATGGGTCCCATACATATTTTTAAATTCTAATGCCATATAATAGCCATGTCAATTCCACATGGAACGAAGACTAAGTCAATATCACCACGTCAGTAAAACCGCTCTCAAAACTGCCATAAGAGTCAAATTGCATCAGTTTAATAGTTGGGGTCGAGATATTTGGTACTGTGGTTCAAGAATACGAATCAGATTTAATCACTAGGTAAGGGAGCGAAAGTGAACTTATTACTATTTCTTATATGGCTGGAAATAAGTCTATTTTGTGTCCCTCATCTCTTTGCGCCATACACTTATATGGCTAGAATAAGTCTATTTTGGCGCCCTCATCTATTTTGCCTCCTTGTCGTTGGACCGAGTCGTGCCGGGACGGTCCATCGTGCTAAGAGGCCCAAGCACGACCCAACGGTCGTGCTAGGCTGGCACGGACCCGACACCAATTAAGCTGTGTCGTGCTTAGGCCAGACGAAAAACCCGTCCCGTGGGCCAGCCTGTCAGGCCCGGGCCTTTTAGCCAACTATACCTTGGAGTGGGTTTCCTCCCTTTACGTGACCACTCCTCTAGGGCTGCGTTCGTTCCCCTGGGTTGCACGGAAAACGGAGCAGTCCATTTGCAGGTGAGTAATTAAGTATTTGCTATTTTTTTAAAAAAAATAGATCAATATGATTTTTTAAGCAACTTTTGTATATAATTTTTTTAAAAAACACACCGTTTAATAGTTTGAAAAACGTGCGCGCGAAAAACAAGAGAGATGAGTTGGGAACCCTTACTATCAAACACAGCCCAGTTGATGCAGGTGACCGTTGGGTACTATGGAGCCACTAGCTTCCTTGACAACACGTACGCTCGATGTAACCTCGCCCATGCGACATCTCCGGTGCGAGACCGTACATTTTGTGGGGGTGGGGATGGTGAGCACTCACCGGAGCACGTGGACGCGCCACGCACGCGGGCATCAGTGTTTTGTGCTGTGAATTTGTAGTGTTTTGTGATGTTTGATTGAAAAGAAAAATTACAAGCAAAAACAGCTGCTCCTGTTTGTACGACACGCACGCAAATTCAGTCCTGCCATCCCACAACCATGACCATGGCGGCCCGCATGATCCTATCTTCTCGCAGCCCACACGCACACGATGCCGCGCGCCATCCCACAGCGTGGTACAGACAACAGACTTTTGGTCAGACCACTCCCTTGCACGTGACCACTCCTAGGCTGAACGACTCATAGACATGCGCCCACGCTCGCTCTAAAAACATTGGAAAAATAAACTGTCAAATAAGTGTGTTTTAATTATTATTTTGGGATGAATAATTAGCATGTGAGATAATTGATTTTGATATTTGGTGATAATTGAGGGAGTAGTATTTGTTTTCTTGATAGGACTGGTCAGACCGGGGTTTGTGTACTGTTCAGACCAAACAAAATATTGTGAATAGTGTTTACAATGAACAGGTTTTTTTTTGTCGTGTGAAGCTCTTCAGACCGAAATGCAACGTGCAGTCAGACCGGCTAGCCCAACGGTCTGACCGGCATAATTATATAATTATGATTAGAGTCGGTTTCGAGTTGTTTATTTTGATACTAGTGATTATCTCGTGGTTATGACTTCTAGATAATTTATATACGTGTGTAACATTGTTTTGTGATAATGTTGAGTCACGCTATGAAAAAATTTGTGCTCGGATATTGTTTCTTGTTTGATTCATATGTAGGTGTGTCTTGATGCTTCAGAAGAGTATTGCCAGTGATGGATTAGGAGTCAACTTGAGAGAATATGGCGTTCAGACGATCAAGATATCATGCGGGATGCTTAGGCTAAAGAACAGTGCACGTGATTAGTGAAGATTTCATGTGGCTTACAAGAGGAGGTTGTGTGCATATGGATGAGGAGTTGAATTTCGAGGGAGTCCAAATTTTTGACAATTGGAGTTAGAAGAGTTGGATACTTGTATGGGAAGGTTTCTGAATGCATTAGAAGTACTGCTACGAGTTGGAACGTGGCATTCGTACAGCCATCTCTGGATATAAATAGAAGAGGGGTTGATGTCTTTGGGTATCGATTTTGGAGTGAGTTGAGTTGAGTGAATAGTTAGGGTTTTAAGTTTACTCGAATTTTGAGAGAGTGAAGTTGTTGCACTTTGTGACACGAATAGAAGCAATAAAGGTATATCTATTTTCAAGAGTTCTTTAATTTGTGTTTGCTCGTGTTCAGCAGTTACATCGGCAAGCATATAGCGGTTAGACCGGCGACTATTCGGCGGTTAGACCGGCGGCTTCCTAGCGGTGTGACTAACAACATCAGGCGACATCAACGAAGGCAAGGAAGTTGGACCGGAGATACACCATCGGTCGGACTGATGGTATCCTGGCGGTCAGATCACCGCATCTACACCGGTCAAACCGTTCTCCATCAAGTTTGAAGGTAACTTTTAATTCCGCTAAAAGTGTTCTTAATTCCGCTAAAAGTGTTCGGTTCTTTATGTTCTACTATTTAATCCTCTTTGGTAGGCTTAGTTCTTGTTATTCGATCCTACGTAAACAAAAAAGATATAACGATTGGTTGTCCTAGATTACATGCAACATTCACTAGTACAAAAGTGATTTTTGCAGATAGCCCAAAAGAGGTTTTCGCATGCAGTAGGGCAGCCCGCATGCTCTGGAGAGTCTGCAAAAATTGCTATCTTTGCATATTGGGGCATTTTCGCGTGTGAGTGCTTATGTCGTCTGCATGCAAAAATAAAAATCGCAAAAAAAACCAAAACTCTAGCATCCCAGTGGCGGCGACTACGGCAGCGGATAGCCGGATTGAGCTGCCTCCTCCTCCTCCCGGCCACCTACTCCTCCTCCTTGTCGGCGGCACACGGCAGGGGACGGGGATGGCGCCACTCCCAGTCGTTGCCTCGCCGGTGGCTGTGGCGCCGCTGTTGGTATTTCTTAACAACATTAATAGAAATATAATTCCCAGCAATGGCGTAGAAATATTCATGGTATACTATAGTTACATATCATATCCACAAGCGCATGGATATACCATTGTAGCATTTCACCTGAGAGTATTCCAAGGGTATCGTATTTATTTAATCCCGAGGGAAGATTTATAAGAGAGAACTATGCTAATAATTTATATGGTACTTGTAATAGTCAGTCCAAACAGGAGTTAATTTAATTCATGGGTATAGTGACACGAAGCAGAAGAACTAAACACTCTCATACATACTAATGCTAGACTAAGTGGAGAAATAATAATAAAAGGATTCATTCCTATACCTCTATTATAAATACAACTTTAGTCTATAATTTCTAGTATACAATCATACAGTTAATACCCCCTTTACAATGCCCTCCTGGTGCTTCGAGAAACCACCCCTGATTATCGAGTTCGTTACAACAATCCGTCATGGCCATCCAACTGGTACTAAATACGGAGGAGTACCCTCCCTAGGAATATAACTTAGGATTATCTACTAATGTGGAGGAATACCTGATGAGGACATCAACACCAACGATACATCCATGCCTCCACAAGTACAACTTCATGGTCCTACTACACGCGCTCATGCACGTCAAATCAACTATCAAGTACATTTACTCTTAAATTCATATGATTCTTATTTATATCCCGGAGACACGTACACTTTTGTTTTACTCAGGAAAGTGGAGAGGATCAAACGGGGAGAGGATTCGGCGGGATGGATTCGGACTGCAGCACAACACCAACTTCTGACGGCCGCCACAACTTCATGCGAACTCCGATTTGGGTGTGCAAGTACTTCATGGAAATCTTGTCAAGTATACTTTCAAATGGATCCAGCCTCATGTCCATATCAGTTCTGGAGCGGCCGCAATCTTCGTTTTACTACCGAGTCCTTTTCTGTCCACAGTGCTGCGTCACCTCTTTGGGTCCAATGGGCCGTGTATCTTGTTGGGTCCATTAGAGACGCGTCCTAGGGTTAGAGAACGACCCCAGCACCCCTGTGGTCATCCTCTTCCTCTTCTTACAGCTTTCTCCGCTGCCAAGAATAATCGGGTTTTGTTTAGATCAAAGTGTAGCATCGCTACTTTGCCGAGTTGATCCCGTGATCGATTAGATCGCCGGATTGCTTGTTACTGAACCCCACTTGTTACTACTGTTGATTCAATCCAATATCTTTGATTCGCAAATTGAGTTGCTTGTTCATCTTGTTCTTGCTGATTCTCGATTGCTTGCAGGAACAAATACCCTCGTGGTTGGGTTGATCGTGCATCCGTCGAGATTCACGGCCGCCTTTGGAGTTGGTGTAACGATTGCTAAGGCACAACATCCTTGGATAGTTGTAGTCGGATCGCCAACATCGCTTCATCCAATCGACTTATCCCTCTCATCGAAAGATCGGGACACACTCGCGCACATCAATACCCATACTGAGTTGTCACCATCAGCGGTCCACCTTTACTGTTCCGCAGCATATAAACCCAAATAATGCTATTCAATAATCTAAGAACCACGCTTAAATTACTAAATAATACTCTACAATCATCGTCACAACTTAGAGTAGTCATTAACATGATCATTATACCCACACCAATGCATATCATGGGTAGGTTAGCTGTACAATTATAACAAGATAAATATATCGTCAAGTCGGTACTTGAATGATTAGGATAAAATAAAGTACCACAATTGTATATAGAAGAATATTCCATAAATCGTACAATCCTTACAAGAGAAGGAAAAGCTACTAGAGCCATACCCAAACTCTTCCGAAAACTCCGAGGACTAAGGAAACTATTTTATTCCTACTCCACTAGCTCTAGAATACTAACTAAACTTGAGAGAGAGCTTTGATCTTCTTGCTTGAGTATGTGTTGGAGTGGAGAATGAGCTCCTCCTTAAATAGGCTGCCAATGACGGTTGTGACGGTTAGAAATGTCCTAACTGCGCTGCAACCGTCATTGAAGAGTGATCTAAAGCATCCACGTGGAAGGCCAGGATGGGTGGCCTCGGCTAGGGTTCGGCCGAACCTAAGCTGGCCCATTCGGCCTTCATTTTTAGCAGGTGGATTCCTTGTTGGGCTTTGTTCCCAATGGCATGAGAGTTGTGCTTGTTTGCACGTGTTAACTTTGTGTTGTCAGCCCATCTATTCAGAAGTCTGCCACTCGACGGACGACAATTGATTGTTTGATTATTTTCCATCGATCTTCCTCCATTTTATGTAGCAAACTCTGCAAGCAAATAATATCCAAGTACAAGTGGAAATAGATTATTCTAAAACAAATATGTATTGCAAGCATAGCTAGCTCTCCTTTATTTTAGTAATATTGACTGTCGAAATTGGTCTATAACGACCGTCAATAGCCGCCACCGCCCCCTCCCGTACGTCGCTTGCTCCCAGCCGTGCTCGTCCTTGTCGGCAGCGGTGCCAAGCTGCCGCCGTCCGCCGCCCGCCATCGTCACCCGCCACCCCCACTGTCGTTGTCGTCGTCGCCGTAGGATCCGCCGCCGGTCGCTCCCGCTGTCGTGAGGAAGAGAGAGAGAGGAGGTGAGAATGAAAGGAGGGGAGGAAGTGAGAAGAAGATAAGGGAGAGAGAAACTCAGAGATAAGGTTTCAATTGTTTTTGAATATGATGAAAAGGAAAGAGGATGTAGCTCAGACTTCTGTGCGGACCTTTAAGAGGCCTGTCTACGAAAATATATTTTCTTGTGCAGTCGCTTAAGAGGCCCGTCTGAAAAAATAGCCCTATTTTCCTGTGCGGCTGCTTAAGAGGGCCGTATGCGAAAATATATTTTCGTATATGGGTCTCTTAAGGAGCCGTATGCGAAAATGAGGGTCGATGTTTGCAGACACGTATACTTACGTTCCGTCTGCAACCTATTGAGGTGCTCGTCCAGATAAATAATTTGCGTAGTAGTGATTATGAAGATGGAGCAATGGGAAAGGTAGAGTTGGATGTAATGCAGCGCGCGTTGGATGTAATTAACGTCAACGAGATTGGATCAGGGAACAATGACGACAGATAAAATAGTTAATTACTGTTTACTTGCTATATACGTTCGTTCCAATGCCCATCCAAAGGGACATCTTCCATACTGTTTTGTTTCTCGGTCCTCTGTTTAATTTCTCCAAAATCCTTCTTTATTCGTGTGTGATTTTTAGATCCTATGTTTCAAAGTGTCCTACAAGATTGTAGACCAAATTGGCATAATCAGATAAATTCTGATTCACTCGCAACTTCAGGAAGAACCACAATGCTGATTCAAGGCTCTGAAAATCATAGTTGCTCACGTGCACTCCGCTGAACTATGATAATGATCTGATGTTGTGCATCTCGCAGCATTATTGCTCACCCACATCACATAGACCTTTGACACATATTGATATTGTATTGCTCTGCGCCCCATCGATCATTACTCCAATAGAACATATTCTCGTGAACATACTAGCCGACTAAGGCTCAAACATAATAATCAATAAGCATTAGCCAGGATCCCAAGATAAGTGCCGTTTCTTAATGAAACATTTGCATGTGCACTCTTACCAGCCTATAGCACAATCTCGCAGATATGTTCCATGGAACATAGGAAAATATACAGTGAAAAGTGAAAACCAGAACTTAGGTTTAAACTCGTGTAAACTCCATTTAAAAATTCATCTAATTTCACCAAAAGTAATCACACATGTAGATAATTAAGATGATGTTAGAGAAAATCCTGTCCAAACACTAAACTCTCCACTTCTTAATAAAACTCATAGAGATCGGCACTATAGGTCTCAAAACAGTTAAGACTAACACCTATAGTGTTTGTTCCTCCTCCGTAGGCTGAAAACACATAAAACCAACACCTTTAAACAACTATAGGTGCCGGTTCTAAAGAAAAACCAGCACCTATAGTACTATAGGTGTCGGTTTTTTTAAAAAAGGGTACCTATAATTTATTATAGGTGTCGGTTATAGGTTTTAGTTTTCTAAAAAAACGGTACCTATACCGAGCTGAGCCAGTGAGCCGATCAAGCGCCGGCCTTATCCATCGTATGCATGCCTCCCATCCTTATCTTATCCCTTAATTTGCACCCCCCCCCCCTCTCCCTCTCTCTCTCGCTGTCTCTGATTCACCGTCTGTCTCTCGCTCTCTTTGTCTCTCTCGCTCTCTCTATCTCTCTCTCACCTCTCTCTCTCTCCCTTGCTCTCTCTCGCTTGTCTCGGCGGCGATCTGGCGGAGGCAGCACCGGTGGCGACCACGCCCTTCCTTCTGCTAGATCCGGCCAGAGGGGAGATGGCGGACCTCAGCGACGGCAGCGGTGCGTTCATGGATGTTGATGGATGTTGATGCTATGTGTTCATTGATATTGATACTATGTGTTAATGTGTTCTTTAATTTAGATTTGAATCATGTATGTTTGATCTTGTTGGGATGAAGTGGGGTTGATTTGAATCTTGTATGTTTGATCTTTGTTGGGATGAAGTGCGGTTGCTCGATGGATCGTCTCGAGCCGATGCAGCGAGCTATTTTTTTTGTTCGTGTAGCCTCAAAGGTACCGGTTCCTAAACCGGCGTCTTTGAGGACACCTCAAAGGTGCTGACTAATAGGTGCTGGTTGGGAAACCGGCACCTATAGCCCTTTTTTAGTAGTGGTATGTCACGTATAAAAATACTAAATTTTGAACAATTATTTTTATATCTCACAAATGAAATCGAGTAATTTGGACAATATTTTTCACAACAAACATCTCATCTTTATATGCAATTAATTTGTTTGGTGAATTTAAATGACTTTTTCGTTGGGGTTCACATGAGTTTCCATCTATTTAAATTGAGTATCCACCACATATTTACCACTTTTTCTAAATGTCTCGGCACCTATATCTCCTCTTAACTTTACAATGTAATACTCAAGCCCTATTTCTCTTTAACCGTCTCTTGCAAGAATTAGCTCTATGTAAACTATGAACTAAAATAATTAATGATCATTGAAATTGGACTCAACCATTAAACATGCCTCCATGTTTCCTTGGATTATTTGGGACCAGACTACATAACGTGGAAATGGGGGGAGTACCTAGCTCGTTCTGACGACGCTTGGATCTACCGCTCTATGTGACACTGAGGTGGTCTCCCTTGAAGTGCTTGTGCTGGACTGCTGGCTGGGTACAATGCATCCACGCAAAACTCTCCTATTTTGCATCCACGAAAAACTCTCCTATAAAGTTAGAAAATTTTGATAACATAGATTAATACGTGATATGATATGTCACCCTCATAAATATGAGCAAGTTCACATTTATTAACTTCTACGTGTTGAAAAAAAAAAACAGGGCGAGTGCACGTATAATTAGAGTTTATTTTTTTTCTACAACTTGTTGCGATCGAAATTGAACTTGTATGGTTGTGAATGTTTCCCAAGTTACAAATCACATGTTAATTTATCTTATTATGTTAGAAAAATCATAGCTCTTCGTATTCCCCTCGAACGATTAGAATCGGTGTCCTGACCCATGCATGCATGGTTCAGCGAAGCTGCGGGAGGACACAGAGAGGCATTTGCTGGACGGCAAGCTCAGGGTGGCGGTCGCATCCAAGGCCAGTTAACCCGGTGATTATTACTAATATAATAACGAACTTGGCACTAATCTAATCAGAAACGGCAACTGGGTTGAGCTATAGCTAGCTAGCTAGCGAGCAGAGTTAACCCAACTTGCACGATTAGACCCCCAGCATCCCCGACCGAGACCACGTGAAGTTTCCCGTTGCAAACTAACACATGCGGTACGCTATGTACACGAGTAGGGGTAGTGTGGCAATATTGTTCTTATCAAGCCTGACAGTCTGACACCGCCGAGTTAAAAAAAACGCGAGGAAGATGACAACGCTTGGAACATGGGTCTTCTGTATCCTCTTGTATAATTTAGCCGGTCTCCGATCCGGTCTCTCCAAGCAGATCATCTCATAGCCGCCTATAAAACGTGTACACAAACTCCGAATTAATCGATCAATCAATCAGTGAGCCACAAACGCCTATAAGCTGTAGCTGAAATCTTGATCTGTGTAGCTCCATGGAGTCGGCCATGAGGAGGAAGATGGCCGTGGTGGTGATGTCGGTGTTGATGATGGCGGCGGCGGCGGCGGCGAACTACGCGGCGGAGCCGGAGGAGGACTGCGCGACGCAGACGACCTACTTCACCAACTGCCTGAGGCGCGGGATCAGGGAAGGCTGCTGCGGGGTGGTGAAGAACCACTGGTGCCTGTGCCAGGTGAAGCGGGAGGCGGAGGTGAAATGCATCCCCGGGCGCCGCTGCGACGTGCCCAAGGCCCTCAAGATCGCCGACATGGACCTCCCCTGCATGAGAAACCTCAGGTGCAGCAAGCACGCCTGATATAACCAAATCTGCTACGCTATATCCAACTTAATTAGATGCCTACTGCCTCCAAGTTATGTTACTCTGTTTGTTACTGCATCCTATGTTTTTTTTCTAGATGATTTTGTTGAAGCAATCAATCCCAACCTGATGTATACTGCTCATTGTCCTATATATTATTATTATGGTCGGCTCCGGATCTCATATTCACGATATATTCTAAATTTGTATTATTTAATTATAGTGGTTTAGAATTTTAAATTTTATTTAAAAAATAATGATTTATCCAAATGTTATCGACGAAATCGTAGATCTAGATCAAGAATTTATGGGGCTAGAAATAGCCAGCTACAAATAATCTTGGATCAGTTGTACAAAAGAGAGCCTCAATCGATCAGTTAAAAGGAGCTAACCACAGACCTTAACCTTCATGGTGTATTATATTTGCTTTTCCAAATCCAATTTAAATACCCAGGCAACGATTGAAGATAACTCACAACCCCTCTAGAACTGGAAAGCTAGTGGATGAAGCAGCCGCAGAGTGATGCCGTTTTTTTTTTTTGACAAATTGACCCTTTTCAAAAACTTATTTCGAAACTAACCCCTGCCAAAAACTTCAACCAAAAATAGGCTGTCGGCTCAGCGCCAAGCGCATTGGCGCTAAGGTTGGCCATGTCAGCGCCAACGGGGCTGGCGCTGATATCGTGCCACCGTGGTGGCCGGGCCAATCCCCCAGCTGACGTGGAAGCTACCTCAGCGCCAGCCGCATCGGCGCTGGACCTAGGGACCTGAGATGTGACTTGGTCCTAGGTATCTCAGCGCCATTTTGCCTAATCCCGTTGGCGCTGAGACGGCCAACCTCAGCGCCAATGCGCTTGGCGCTGAGCCGACAGTCTATTTTTGGTTGAAGTTTTTGGCAGGGGTTAGATTTGAAATAAGTTTTTACAAAGGGTCAATTTGTCAAAAAAAACGGCAGAGTGATGCTCTTGATGCCGCCCGCCGTAGGGTAAAGTTGCGGACATTGTTGTGTGTAGCTCCTGCCTCCACCACCGCATGGTGCAGTGCGAAGCCCCACCTCCGTCGTCGTGTCGACTGCAAATGACGCGGCCATCAGGTGAAGCTCCCACCTCCACGGCTCCACCGCCACGCGTCGGGTAAAACTCCCACTTCTGTCACTATAAAAAATCATTTTTTTTCAACGCCCGCTCTATCTAGACCTGTTTAGATGGGATATCACATCAGATGTTTGGATACTAATTATAAATATTAAGTATAGACTATTAATAAAACCCATACTATAACCCTGGACTAATTCGCGAGACAAATCTATTGAGCCTAATTAATCCATGATTAGCTTATGTGATGCTACAATAAACATGTGCTAATTATGGATTAATTAGTCTTAAAAAATTTGTCACGCGAATTAGCTCTCATCTATGTAATTAGTTTTATAAGTAGTTTATGTTTAATACTCCAAATTCATCCGATATGACAGGGACTAAAGTTTAGTCCCTGGATCCAAACACCCCCTTAGTCACAGGCGAGCTAAGAGCAGGTACATTAGCAGGCTATAAGCCAGCTATAAACATATTTTTAAAGAGATAAAGAAAAAGAGAGAAGAGCAGCGGACTATAGATTTATAGCTAGCTGTAGCACGGACTCCAAGACGTAATGTGTGTATGACAGGTGGGACCAGGTATTAATAGTATATTAAGCAACTATTGTATGAATTGGCTATTACATTGGATATAGATGATTTGTAGATAGTAGTTGACTATACTATTAAACTAAATAACATCGGTAAATAAAAGGATTTGGGTGATGTTTAGTTAAGGATTGTTTGTGAAAATCTATTTTTATAGATGTACGCTTTAAGCGAGAATCCTAATTCGCGCGCACGCCCGGCCTACACAGCCCAGCACGCGCGCGCCCGAATCTTTTTTTCGCGCTGTTTCTTCTCTTTTCTTTTTTCACTTTCTCTTTTTTTCTTTAATTTTTTTCCTTTTCCTTTTTTCAAATCTGGACTTGAAAGTTTTTAAATCTCGAGTTGAAAATTTTCAAAATTCAAGTTGAAAGTTTTCAAATCTCAAGTTGAAAGTTTCAAAAAAAATTTAAATCTGTACTTGAAAGTTTTCGAATCTGAGTTGAAAGTTTTCAAATCTGAGTTGAAAGTTTTTAAATATTTCAAATCTGGACTTGAAAGTTTTCGAATCTCGAGTTGAAAGTTTTTAAATCTCGAGTTGAAAATTTTCAAATCTCAAGTTGAAAGTTTTCTATTTTTTCAAATCTGGACTTGAAAGTTTTCGAATCTCGAGTTGAAAGTTTTCGAATCTGAGTTAACAGTTTTCAAATCTTGAGTCGAAAGTTTTCAAATCCGAGTCAAAAGTTTTCAAAATTTGACTTTAAAATTTAAATCTTAAATCAAAAGTTTTCAAATCTGACTTAAAAAAATTTCAATCTGTTAGTAAAAAATTCTTAAGAATCTTCCATAATTACCCATCATTAGTGTTAAGTGTTAACTAATATAGAGTAGTTATAGAGAGGGAAGGGAAGGAGATGTGCTCGCTGCTGGCACACACATGCCAGCTAGCAGGCCCCGCTTTAAGATACCCATCTGCGAAAATAGCATATTTTTAGGCTGGTTTAATTTCAGGCTGCCTGACCAGGCAACATTGGTTGCCTTCTCGGATGCTATATATTCACGCATACAAATTTCTAAGGCAGGGTGCTCATGGCTCCAACCAAACAGGCTCTTCATCCAGGATATTAAGAAGCCAAGATATCCCATTTGCCGCTGGAGGCGGTGATCTCAAGTCCAGTATTGGGTTTTTATTGCTTCATAAAAGGAAAAAGTACACCGAAGGTCCCTCAACTTGTCATCGAGTTACAAAATCATCTCTTAACCACAAAACCAGATATATGACATCCCTCAACTTATAATACCATTCACTTTAAATTTTTAGGTGGCTTTGACCCTGGTTTTGGTTTTATCTGATGTGGCGGCTTAATCAGCGTGGGTCCCACAAGTCAGGGCGTCCACGACAGCCCCCTCTCTATCCCTTTTTCTCTCCCTTCGTTCTCTCTCTCACCACTGCTGGTCAGCGGGCGGGGAGAACGCCGACGGGAGAGGAGGGCGTCGGCGGCCGCGAGCGCGCAGCGGACGAGAGCTGCAGCGAGCGGGCGGGCGGCGGAGCGGAGCGGCGGTGGCAGGCGAGCGAGCGGTCGTCCGACGGGGAGCTGCTCCGGTCGCTGCACCGCCTGGCACGCGACCTGTCCGCCGTCGACACACCCGCGCCGTTCCTGCGCGCCTTGTTCGCGTCCATCTCGAGGCGGTCGAAGCTACTGGCGGCCGCGTTGGATGACCTGCGGGGCGCCGCCGAGGAGTTGCCGCAGCCCGCAGGTTTATCTTTCCTTTCTGGTCTGTGTTTTCATGTTCCCTTCTATGTTCAATTTGATTCTTTTTTGGGACTGTCTAACAATCATTCGACAGATTTTCTTTAGAAAATCAGTCGAATTTTCAAGCCATCACCATGTGCTGCTCAAATGAAAACGTATCAATGTACGTCAGTCACTGGACATTAATCACGTCAGTGATGCTGCTAAAAAGAAAAGGAAAAACAAGCAACTTACATCAACTTACGCATGTAATTTTTGGGGTTACATATGTAATTTTGAAACTTACGCTATAAATATATTAAAATTACATATGTAATTTTAAAACTTACAGCGTAAATATATTAAAATTACATATGTAATTTTGAAGATTTACGATGTAAATACGTACCGATTATTTTTTTATGAAAAATATGACGGCATATATATAGTCCGAAAATATCAAATCACACCTCAAACAATTAGGTTAACTACAGTACAACAAAACAACCATGAGTAAAAAAATTACCATCCATGTAAAACAAAAATTACACCTGTATCTATTAAAAATTACACTGTAAATGTAGTGTACTTAACTATGAAACTGCGGTGAAAGTTTTAAAAACGTTAGGTATAGCAGCAAAGTAATCAGTCGCTTCTTGCACAGTTGGTACGATGCACGTCATGTTATCCCGACATCATGTGGTTGATTCCCTGCTCTAGCGGCATTTTTTTTTTCACTCGAAGGCACGCGCACAAATCTCAAAGTAAATCATACGGTGAAGAAATCGACAGATTTTTAACTGTCGACAGATATACAGCAATTCCGTTTTGGTTTTCATGGATCGATGGTATATGGTATTATGTTTTTTTTTCCTGTGTTTTGAATCGTCCTCTCTTGCTCCTGTTAAGGTTGGGGAACCAATATCTCCATGGTGTCACCATCTTTGCAAGAAGGGGATAGATCGACGCGTCAAGAAATCGTTTCTGTTGCCATGGCTCGAGTAAGCAATACGATTGTTGCTTGCGTACAATTTTTTCTTTTTGCGGGGTGCGTACAATTTTTTCTTGATGCAGACTAGTTTCTTTTCTTGTACCCTGTTTTAAAAAAATCTCACTCCTCTGTTTATATCTGTTCTGTTCATGCACCGTGCTAACCCCGGGCTTGTCGGACTGGAATCCTTTGAAGAATGAAGCCCCAATGAGGCAATGACTGTGCTAGATCCACCATGCCATTCAGTGTTGCAGGTCATGATGCTTTGAGCTCGTGATTGTGTCTGTGTCAGCGTAATGGATACATTCAGCTATCATATTTCCTCTAAAATATTCGTGTTTTCGTTCATTGGATTTACTTTGTTAGATTTGGCGGTTTGGCAATGATGATACAAACTTTCAGCTTACCATGCCAGTTCTGCTTCTGAGAATTCATGACAGATAAAGCTGATATAGATCTGAACTGAATGTTTTCTTTTGCATTATGAGTGTGCGGCGCCGCCGGGGAGCTGATATAGATATCGAGGCTGTGCGGCGCCGCCGGGAGTTGCCGCGGTTGGCGTCGCTATGCCTGCGGGAGGTGCTCCTGGTGCTGCAGCGGTTCAACGCCATCGTCGCCGATTGCTCGGTGCGAAGCCGGATGTGGCTGCTGCTGGAGTCGGACGAGATGGAGGCGGAGCTGCGGGAGCTCAACCACGACCTGGCCACGCTGCTCGACCTCTTGCCGGTCGTCGAGCTGGGCGCCTTGGCCTCGCCGACGACATGCTCGACGTCCTCTCCCTCGTGTCGCGCCAGTGCTGGCGGTGCTCGCCGGCACCGGAGGCGGTGCAGGCGCTGAACGCGAGCGTGCTGTCGCTGATACAAGAAATCGAGCCCCCGGCACCGCCGTCGGATTTCCGGTGCCCAATCTCTCTCGATCTAATGCGCGACCCCATCGTCGTCGCAAGCGGCCAGACGTACGATCGCGACTCGAGCGGCCGGTGGAGTGGAGCGGAGCGGCGGCGGCATCCAGCGACGCCCAGGGAAAAATGAGAGAGGAAGAGAGAGAAGAGGGGAAAGGGAGAATGTGTGCTGACGTGGCATTCTGACATGTGGGTCTCACATGGGTCCCACGCTGACTCAGCCTCCACGTAGGACAAAACCGGGGTCAAATCCACCCAAGGATCTATTGTGACCGGTTTTAATTAGTTAAGGGAATATCATATATCTGGTTTTACGGTTGGGGACGATTTTGTAACTTGATGACAAGTTGAGGGACCTTCGGTGTACTTTATCCTTCATAAAATCTTTTTGAATAAGTTCACATTGACTCCCTTAACTAGCGGTCGAATTTAATTCATATCCTTGAACCACAATATTACTGGATATATCCACCGTCAACTATTAAAACCGGTACAATTTGATTTCCTCGGTGGTTTTGGAGGGTGGTTTTGCCGACGTGGTGCTTACGTGGCAATATTGACCGAGTCTTCGTTCCATGTGGTGTTGAGGTGGCACTTAGGTGGCATTAGAATTAAAAAAATATGTGTAGGCCCTATTTATCATTCACAAAAAAAAAGGTGGGACCCACGGACACGTGGGCTGTCACACCCCGAAGTTTTCCTCCCAAGCCAAAATTGTAATTTTTATAAATGACCCTAAGAAAATACCGGTGCAAATCAAGAGAAAACCCTAAGAAAGTAATGCAAATAATAATCGGATTTGACATGTGGAATTTTTCTTGAGTTCTACATGTCGAAATTCATTAACAGGATTTTTAGTGGAATTTTCAGAGCTCTAGAAATAATTTTAACCAATTAAAATTGAGCAAGCAATACTTTTAATTCCTGGGAAAATCCTTTTTCCTTTTTCTTTTTCTTTTTCCTCTCTTTTTCCTCCTTTTTGTCAAATGGGCCGTCGGCCCATTTCTCCTTTCCTCCCCCTCCTCTCTGCTGGGCCGGCCGCAGGCCGAGGCCCAGCCAGGCCGCCCGCCGCCCTCCTCTCTCGGGGTCGCCGACAGGTGGGGCCCACCTGTCGGGTCCTTCCCCCACCTCCCGCCGCTCCCGCCGCGCCGCCGCGCCCGCAACCGCCGCCTTCGGCCATGGTTTCCGATCGCCGTGGTCCATCTCCCTCTCTCTAATCCCTCTCTTCTCCTTCCTTAGGGCACCCCGAAGCTCGTCCGCCCGCCGACGTCGTCCTCCCGTGGCTTGCCGTCACCGTTCGCCATCATCTTCCTCCGCGCCGGGCACCCTCGGTGAGGCACCCCCTCCCCTCTTTTCCCCTCCCTCTCCCTCCTAGCCGCCGCTTTAGCGCCGCCGCCCGTTAGTCGTCGCTTTAGCATCACCGCCCTTCGGCGCCGCCTTGCGCCGCCGTCTCCGCCGGCGTTGCCGTCGTCGGCAACGCGCGTGCGCGTGCGCGCGCCGTCGCCGTGACCGGTCGGCCGGCTTTGTGCCGAGCCGAGCCTAGCCTGGCCGCCGCCGCACCGTCCGATCGGCCCCGGGCCGATCCGGGCCGTCGATCCCGTATATCGGCGGTGGATCACCCGCGTGGTCCCGGTCCACGGTAGACCGGCCACCCTTGAGTCGCTGACCAGTGGGTCCCGCGTGCCGCCGCCCCTTCCTCTCTCTCCCGGGCCGCTGACCGGTGGGCCCCGCATGTCGGCGCCGCGCCCCGCCTTGATGACGTCAGCCCTGGAATATATTGCGCAATAAATGATTTAAGGTTTTTCTTTTATAGTAATAAAGACAGTGAATATTCTAAAATTCATAACTAATTCATCCGAGCTCCGTTTAAGCCCATTCAAGTCTCAGTAAATCAAGAAAAATGTGTAGAATCCATTAAAAATGGTTTTGTTCCCTGTTTTAGTAGTCTTATAGCCTGTTTGCAATGTTTGCTTTGTATGTCGCTAGATTCCGATTCCTCTGACGCTCCGGTGTACTTCGAGATAGTCGCCGAGGTTCCTCCAGCAGCAGAGCAAGGCAAGTCATGCTTGTCACTTGAACATGTTAATCCTATATTGCAAATGCCCTATTGTTTTCTTTCAAATATTGCACTGTTTTATAACATTACTATGGGATGGTTACCTATTGTTACAGCCATGCTTTTTGGATACCATGCTCCTTTGTTAGCTTGGGGTTATAACATGATTAGAGTTTGGACTAGGAATTGCTTAGCCATGCTTAGTTCAACTAGTTCACATGGGGGAAAATCATATTAATGTCTAGACTGTTGGTTCTAATGATAATGTTGGATTAGTACCACCGCTCTGGTGTTGGTTAAATAAAATGAATCACATAGTGGGCTGTGGGTGCATGGTTTTGCTGGTCGCACCCATGGCAGTTAAGGACCGGTTCGCGGGATGCCCTGGAAGAACTTATCCTACTTACCACAAGCCAGCGTGGGCAATGGCTGGGCTTGTAGTGTAGCTTCCTCTAGTCGACGCATCCAGGCAAGGGTGGGCGTGATGGAGCGGGGCGGGCCCTGCGACGGCCTCTGTCGCTTCCGGATTCACCTAGGCACGAGAGGGGACTGCCCGTTGCCCGCTGGGGACGGGGGTGAAACCTGAGGTGTGGTGTGCTTGGCTAGAGGGGGTTATGCGAAGGGTCCTGTCACGGCCTCTTTCCGGTATGTCGTGGTGGCATGTCGGCGCACGGAAACGTGTCGTGGGGCTGTGTCTTGTGGGTACAGTTGTACACCTCTGATCAGAGTAAAACTATTCGAATAGCCGTGCCCGCGGTTATGGGCGGTCAACCAGATTCACCGTGATTAGTCTCATCTTAGTGTAATCTTTTAATTTGGATAGCTTAGTGGATGGTTGGGCCTGTCGCAACGTGGGTTAACGTTGGACAGCGGATGATTAATATTAATTCATTATTACAACTGTTTAAATCTTTCAATTTCTGTTTATAAATGCTCGCTTTATGCAAGTGAACCACTTTAGCTCTTCTTTGATGATTCCCTGCATCATACCTCTATTCCGGTATGACTTGCTGAGTACAGTGGGTAGTACTCAGTCTTGCTCTACTTTTCCCAACCCCAGAGTTCGAGTTCGGGTCAGATGAAGGTTTCTCCGAGGAGTAGGCTTCGTCCGTGCCGTCGAGGATGCCTGTGGAGTGGTGTTCCCGCTGCAGTTTAGTCAAGGCTTAGCTCCTGTTGTCTTTCTTTTCTTCCGCTGCATTTATGTAAGACTTTTATGATGTTTGTAAGACGTGGATCTGGATGTCAACATTGTCGTTTGTGTACCCCGGCCGGTCCTGGACGGGGATTTTAATACACATTCTGCTTGAAATTCTATTCGGGAATTTCTGGGCGTGACAAGTTGGTATCAGAGCCGACCTTGACCGTAGGACAAGCCAAACGGAAAAAAAAACCTAAGAGCCCTCTGAATCCTTTCTCATTGCATATGTTCTTTGCAATTGGATTTATTCCGGGAAAATTGGGATCTGTTCTTGTGGTTCTTGGGAAAAATCTTGGTCGCTCGTTTAAGTGAGATTTTTCAAAACAAGTCAGTCCAGGGTTTTAGTAAAACTATTGGGATTTATTCGTCAGTCGGTTGGGATTTGATGGGCGAAATGCATTAGGTCTTAGCTCAGGAACATGGGTTGCAAGGTATTTATGCTTTATTTGTTATCATTAGTATGTATCTAATTTCTCATTATTTTATCGTTATGTGAGTCTGTCTTATTTATTCGCTCTCATGCAAAATGATCTATGCATAAAATTTCGCTCTTATTCGATTCCCTTATTTGAGTCTTTATTGCTTTGTTTAAATTTGGATTTGAGCATGCATTGATCCTACTCCTTTTGTCTTCTCTAGATGGCCGGTCACCCACCCAACCACCGCGGAGAAGGCATGATCGACTTTGTGGCAGAGTTGGCACGCATGACACTGGTGGTAGGCTACCCCAACGCGCCAGAGTACACGACGATTCCACCGCTCAGTGGCGAGCTTCCTCACCGTGTTCGCTTGGAGGTCCACGGCTACGTGGGTACTTGCCTAGCTAACATGGTGGTCGAGGCAGCTGGAGGCACAGCAGATCACGCCTGTCAGGAGGCAGCATACCTGATGATGGCCAGACTACGAGAGCGCCACAACTACATCTTCCACGACACGGCATACCGGTTTCACCCTCGTCGAGCCAGCAATGATGATGTCAGTTCCTTCCGTCCGACAGCTGGCGAGAACGACACCACCTTTGGTCACATGTGTGCTGTGATGAGGGGATTGGACAGGATGCACTCGGACCTGCACAAGGCGACCAAGGCCTTGAACGATGGGAAGCTCATGAGGATCGTCGCTCTGAAGGACGAGATAACGCGCCTGAAGAGGGAGAACGCCCAGTTAAAGGGTCTTCCCGCGCCAGGAGGAGTCTGGATCCGCACTACGCCCCGCAAGACTACGACGGCACCCGTGCGCATCCAGCTTGCGCCCAGGAACCCACCTCCATCAGCAGCTCCCGCAGCACCTCCAGTTCCACCCACAGTTCCTG